CAGAAATATTTAATGTTGATAATATATATAAGGGTTTCTCTCTCCAATCTTTTAAAATCATATTCATAAAATGAGTGTTTAAAAGAACTCCAAGAGAAAAACTCCGTTTATCAATTTTTCTCTCTAATTGCAGTACCTCCTCAAAAGCAAGAGAGTGTATTTACACATAAATAAATATTACATATTTTTTTATGTTAATATTATTAAATATTATTTTTATTTCTGCTAATCCTTTTGCTCTTTTTATACCAGATAAAATTCGCAAATAGCGCCATCTACATAATATGATATCTAGATAGTTTACCGTCTCTCGTTCTCACAATACGTCAAAAATCGTTTTATAATATATTTATAATCATTTAAAAACTTAATTCTGGATTATATAAAACATATATATTTGTAGAGAGTATAGTGTGTATAGTCTTTTTTCTCACTATTTTCTCTCAATGCAATAGTGACGTGCTATTTACGTGCTATTCGTCAGGAAAGATGGAAGATGTTTTAACTGATGTTGTTTCTTCTGAAGATTTAAAGGTAATATGTCAAACAATGATTTTTACGTCATTGATATTTCCGCGATACTTATTTTGATGTATCATTTTTTGTGTTGGATATTTTTAATTGATCGAAAAGAAATGACAATATATATCAGAAAGTTAGGTTAAATGTACCTGGCTTATCCAGATTTACTTGTGCAATATTTTATTTATCAATTTTTATAGTTTTCTACACGTTATCACAATTTGGAAAACTTCTTTTTATGTAGAAGAGAATTCTTGTGTACTTTATAATTCTCGAAATGTCATTCTGCATTTTTATATTCTGTGAAAAAGATGTTCAGCGAGGAACATCATAGTAACATTTCATAATAGTATAAGTATTTAAATCACAATTAATTTGACATTAATATGTTCATAATTTACTTTTTGCAACAAACTCGAACTGATTTATCAATTAAAAAATGTTATGAAGCTTGAGAAATATTGGAAAAAGTACATGAATATTGCATCATCTTGTAACACGCACAATTGTTATGATATATTTTAGAAATTTGAAACCGTGTATCATGAGCAGTTACGTGCGCAATATGTTACGCCAAAAGCACAATTTGAATATTCCTGGTGCCTTGTACGAAGCAAATATTCTGCCGATATTAGAAAAGGAATATTATTATTAGAAGACCTTTATAGTAATCACGATACAGAAAAACGTGATTGCCTGTATTATTTAGCCATTGGAAATGCCAGAATAAAGGTAAGTATGCTTATAAGCGAATATGTTTGATACTTTACCCATAATATTCTTGATCTTTGTTTATTATGTCTTTCCAGGAGTATTCAAAAGCACTGTCATATGTAAGGGCATTCCTTCAGATTGAACCTGCAAATGTGCAAGTACAACAGCTGGAAACAGTGATAAAAAAGAAGATGGAAAAAGGTTTTCCTTTTATAATTTATTATCGGCTTAAGAGAATAAAAATCATGCTTTATTTAGGGGCAATATCGCTAAGAAGTTTCTGTGATTTTCTTATGCAGTCGTATTATTTCTGGTTGCTTCTAATCATTTTTCTATTTGCCTGCATTGCTAAATTTTACATTGATTCTACTTAATATTTTTGTGTCCTCATAATTCAAACTAACCTCATCAATTTTGGAAGAATAACAAATATATCGCATACATTTCTGCAGTACAGTTTTAATTTTAACTTCAATGACGATGTCTTTCATGACTTTCTAAACTTTATATTTATTTTTTCTATTTTGTGAACATTCACAAATAAAAAAAAACTCCATAATTCCTTCTATGTGTGATAAGTATTTAATTTCATATTTAAATACATAAATTAAAGAATTTAGCATAGATTCACTACTTTTGTTCATAGTCATTGTAGCCTATTTTTTAGAGTGCATCTATCTTTTTAATATTTCATCTCTCTGTATCATCTTGTATAATTAATAATAAAAATTTGTGTATGGATGACATGAAAGACCACTATTTAATACCATTATGTTGCTCGATGTATGTTGTATTGTTTATTATTATTAATCGAATCTTTTATAATTATGATGAATAATGCTTCGCGGAACTAACATGATGGAATTATAAATATTATCTAAAATGCTTAACAATTGCATTTTTGTAATTGAAATTGGCGTTGAATCTCGTTTGTTTCTTTTTTTTTGCAGAGGGCCTTGTGGGTATGGCTGTCGCGGGAGGTGTTATTATTGGTATTGCAAGTATTCTGGGCCTGGGCATTGCAATGGCCAAAAAAAATTAGTTATTTGTCAGAGAAAAGTGTTTATAATCCAATTATGTGATGTAGCTTATTCGCACAAAGCAATATACATTGTCTTGTAATTGCTATGTGAGACACAGACTAGTCTCGAAGAGAAAAAGACAAATGTACTAGATCTTTACCAAATCCAAAGATTATGCAATTTGTAACATCATTTTTTTATTAACCAAATATCACTTTTCTATTAACTAAAAAAGTAGAACAAAGAGAGAAAAACAGGAAAAAAATACTTATTAAGTCGTATACAGTGTAATTGCTTATTTAATGATTTGTTTAATTATTCCAAATAAATATATTTGCGCAATAGCGCAAAATGTAATTCTTTGTTTTATGTGTGTCAAAAATATCTACTCGACAGATCAGTTTTATTTTTAATACATTCCGAAATTACATGTAATTTTTCAATTTTATACCCTATGTGCATGTATATATAATTTCGAGAAACTATTTAATGTTTTGTAATGACTGATTTGATTAATTTAGGAAGTTAAATTTCTTTAGTGAAAACCTCGACAGAGGCTATTATTTATTTCCATGTTTTTTGCATTATATATTTTTATAACTAAACTTAAAATTAAAATTTTATCAAAACATTCTATCTAAAATTATTAAAGTTTTTATTATCCATTTAACTTCTGAAAATTTAGTTGAATAGATTTAAAAAAATTTGCAAAGAGCTTTTTTTAGTTACTTTTAATTTGAAAATTAATTTCTCAACATTTTTATTTAAAAAAAGTCAATTCTAAACTAATTAAATAATCTGTCATTAAAAGGATATTAGATTGATTTTGGAACTTATGTGTGCATATAGATAGGGGTATATATGCACGTATATAAATGTTGCAGACATTTTGTGAAATCTGTTTTTAAGGCAGTGAATCTTGGTAGACTGGCGTTTTATAAAAAAGCATAAGCTTTTTATAATAAAACTAACTTAAGAAAAATCCTGCAACATTATGTATACTATATCTACGGATCATAAGATTTTTAAGTTATAAATATTACAAATTTTTTATATTAATATATGTGAGCGTATATTCAATCATCATACCAAAGCGTTACATAGTGATAACAAATGTAGCTTTTGTATATAATTAGGAAAACAATTGTATTTGCGGATTTGTGTTGTTGCTGAACCTGTTTAATAAAAATCAATATTTAAAGCTACATATCGGATATTTTTTCCATGCAAATTATTAAAGTACTTATGCATAACTTTGCTCGAAACTACTGGAAACTGACGTAATCCTATCGTAATGAAATTATGCAAAATATATATGAGGCAGCTCCGCTTTTCATTTGTAATATTGCACAGAAATTTATACACGCGAAAAATTTGGCATCGTTTTATTTGCAGCAAGCTGCCGCGTGCTCGAACAGACTTTATGATAAATTTTTGTTCTCAAATGTAGCATATATGATGTTGATAAAAATAAAAATCTAGTTTTGTTGAGAAAAAGCAAAATACTGGTCTATATTTTAAATGGTAATTTTACGCTAAATCCAACTGTCCGATCCGCATTATATGTTTACTACTCAATGTGATCTTCGTATTACGCAAATGGAACCACATTACGGCAAATGTAACTGTCTGAGTCTCTTTCCGTGTTTACACTGAGAGAATGTGATTTTCATATTAAATAAATGAAACTCAGAATTAGTCAGCCATATCTAGCGTTAAATGCACCGCTAAACACAGATGCGAATATTGATTGCAGCAAATATTCGACCGCATTCATAGCGAATAGCATTTGTAAAGCGTTGTGCATGGTTTATTTATCTAAAACAGTATTTCACACGGGATTTAAGCCGATGCAAAATTTATTATAAACAAGATGCAATATCACAAAATTGTATCTCTTTTTTTAATAAATCTAAATCTGTTCGATATGAAATATAATTGGATTAAATAAAGGATAGATGAAAGAAATATAACAAGAGATCTAGTTCATATTTTTTTATATATAGATTTATTGATGACTTCTTAATATCTGTTGATAAAGTTGTTTATGTACAAAATAACGCTGGAATATCCCTATTAATATTATTATTACTATTATTATTATTATTATTATTAATGACCTATGTTATGGCCCAGGGACTCTCTCGAAAGAGAACAGTCCTTTCCCCCGCTCGGTTTGACGAGTCAGTACATTCGCTTGTCTTTTCCACGCCAAAAAACACGACGGCGATGATTAGCGCTATGCGCATTTCGCGCTCGCCTTCTTTTCTCTCGTTCGCCCACACGCGATAATAATATTTACACTGGCCGATCATTGATCGGATCGGCATTGGGAGAACGGATGAAAAGAAGGCCGCAAGATTTGTCAGTAATATTCGCGCGGGCTCGCCTTTATGGTATATCTTAATGAAAGATTCGTGATAAGTAAAGAGAGAAAATCGAGTATAGGCGATGAATGCGATTGTGTAACGCGCGTATGTCGTCCCGCATTCTCCCGCGCCGTTAAATTTATTCTCTTAGCGCAGTCAAAAATTTATTTATTTAATAAGTTTTTCCGTTTTCGCACAAGTAAAATGATGAAACGATCGGGCGGTTTGCACTCGATACGTATCGTCTGAATGAAATTTAATTTGTTCATTACAAGATTCGCGCTTCGACGGGATGAGATTCGAGCAGCCGCGTTTAACGTCAAATACGATCGCCTGAATACTTTTTTCATTAAATCGAGTTATTTAGAATATCATTTATTTTATATAAATGATTTTTATATAAATTTTATATTTATTTTCTATAAAGGAACGCGCGTTCTCTCCTATCTTTCTCTCGGATCGATAGAGGTGAGATGAGGAGGATCGCACATCTCGATGTATTTGACGCTAACCGCGTAGCAAAAATGCGGATTATTTTTCTCCGAGAATAAAGGGATAAGGGGAGAGGATTTGAGATGTATTTACAATGGAGAGTGTTGTCGGGGAGGCTCTACTATATACTTGTGCCCACGGTATAACGATATCGACGACTTTCGCAGTTGGTCCGCGAAACGACTGTTGGTGATCGATATTTGCGCGAAGTGGATAACTACTCCCTGCCGACCCGGATTGTTGACCCCCCCGCCCTCCCCTCCGTGGAACGTGATGCGATCGTTTAATAAAAACAGCGCATACGTTTGCGGGCAGGAGTGCCGCTTTCGGACGCGCAGAGCGGCTATCGATTAATAAACGCTACGAGGGGAGATCACGTTTTTTTTTTTTTTTTTTGCGCGCGGATCACTTTCGAAGTGTGGCGAGTTCGGGCTGATCGCGAAAAACTTTGAATTTCGATTCGCGACAATTTATTTATATTACGCGAAAGGTGCATTCCGTGATCTAGAGCGACTCCCCTAGATTTTTTCTGAAAATTTTTCGATAGATAATTACAGCTATGTACCGTATTTCAACGACTCCGTTGACACGACTTAAGAGTTTAATTTGGTTTTTACTCGATTCGAGCGTTTTTCGCGGCGAAAATGTATTTCAGTCTCGCCGTCAGATGCGGCTGGTCCGCAAAACTTTTTCGTTTGCGAAACGCTTTTTGTATACGAACGAAATTTCGCGATGTTTACGTAAACGCGGGAGTCCGCACGGTAATTAAACTTGTCCTTCCAATCCAATTCTACGCTGTATTACAGTCTAGAGAGAGAGTGAACACGCTCTTTTATTTCTACCGTAATTTGTTCCGGATGATGGTACGGTTGTTTCTGCAAACTCATGGAACGGTAATATTTTCGAAAAATGTCAGAGAAATCAAAAGGCGAGACTTCAAGCTCGATGTACACCTTATCCGCGGTAACAGATAATCGAAATTCGAAAACGGATCTTCACGATTATTCCTGAACTGGCACGTGTTATCCGTGGGTCGCAACTTCTAATCCTCTCGCGCGAATTCATACCCTCGCCGATCGCGAATCGTTTCGCGATCGTCGAGTATTCCTTGTTCGCATCGCAGGAGAGACGTTTCGTTCTTTTACCTAACGTAGGAATTAATCACTTGATAGATTAGCAGCTTGAAAATACTTTAAGCAGTTTAAGGTAATGAATATTGCTTTCTCAATAAGGCTCCGCTATGCTTTACACGAATATACAATGTGTAGTTGTGTTCGTGCGCGTTTGTATGAATAAAATTGAAAGTGTGTCATATGTATGTCGTCTGTATACATCGGCTCGTTTGCCGATCAAATCTCGACTCAGACTGGATCTCGATTCTCTATGATAGTCTTTCAAATCTAAAGTGCAGAGACGAGATCGAAGAATTACAATCGCCTAAAGATATCGATCGATAGAAGAAGCTTTAAGTTCCGCCATCCTGGAGAAACGCGAAATATCACTTTAATGATATATGTACGATCTCCCGTGGAATGTGCATATAATTCATCATGTGAAATTTACAGTTTCGCGCAGCTGCACGAGAATCAAATGCTATACGTATATATCACAATTTAAGATTAGGTCGTTTAAATTCGATATATGGGGTATTATCAGCGAAGGGAAACTTGTTTAACCATCCGTGAATCCTTTCTGTGGATGAAATTAATTTCTCCTCCTAGATCGAATCCAATTAACAAACTGAGTACTTAGTAGAGACTGACATGTTAGATATAATTTCTACATAATCCAAAATAAATCACGCGCAGCGCGATTAATCCGATCTCGAAATTTGCTTTTGTTACGACTGTTAACGTAAAAAAAAATCCGATTTTTTTTTTCTCTAAATAAATATTGTACCGAAAGTGTGTTGCATGCCACAGAGGGTTAACCGTTACGTCTGCCTTCTCCCCGTAAGTTCCCGTTATCATGCACATATCCGGGAATCGCGATCACAATGGCGCACAGAGCGCGTATTGATACTAAGTTTATCGAGAGTAGTGATAAGCGCGTGTTTGCACACTGGCACCTCCGGCGAGAGATTGCATTGCGCGCAGCTAAGTACGCGCAATTCGTCAATCGACGCCCTGTCGTCGTCCGATAACGGCATCGTGAGCTCGCGGTCGAATGGCAGAACTCGAGCTTATCTCTCGAACGGCAGAAGGAACTCGGATGAGAGTGTTATGACAGATATGAGACGAGAGGTGCGCGCGCCTTTTGACGCGGCGCCGATTTAGGAGCTGAGTCACAGTGAAAAATAGATATGATACTAAAGGATAAAAAATATATGAGTGATTTTGAGTTACATCTTCGATTGATTTAAACTTTAAACATTTATATTTTCATTTAATATTACTTATAATTTTTTATTTAATATTACTATTAAATTTAAATTTCTATTTCTATATCTTCAAGAGAAATATGAACGATAACGTCTTTCAACTTTGATTTGGATTTAGATTATGCATTCTTCAATTCTCGTTCGTGTATTTCATTATGCCGCGGCACTTTTACATGTGCGTATCGTATACGTAATCGATACGAAACGGAAAAAAGATACAATAGGCCTTACGAACTACCGGCGCTCAATTTTGTACAATAATTTAATATTTCGATTAATTTACTCGACCATTCAAACACTCCTTTCTTTCTATGCTTTTATTCCTTTCTCTTCTTTCTTTCTCTTTCTTCTTTCGATACGCGTCGATTGACTAGCGATACGATAATATTATATGATGAGTTGTAGTGTATCACGGTCATATCGTAAAATATACACTTTTTGTCGTCCCGCTTCTATTGTTTGACGGTTTTTTAATACTCTTTCTTTTCACAGAACTATTTATGATACTTGAGTCCTGACATTTACAATGCATTTTAATTATTATTTAAGATTTATCTGATGGCTCGCTTCAAAAATCGTGAAATTAACTCGCATCACATAAATTTCAGATTGATACAAGATACATATATATACAAGAAAATATAATAATTCCGAATTTGGATTCGCACAAATTCGCGATCCGTTAACATTTTTCGATAATATCGCAATACAGATTCGGCAGAAGTAGAAAATGTCATAACTTAAGTAATAAAACATATACAAAGATTTGTTATCATCATTTTCATAAAATGAAAATTTCTAGAAAATACTTTTTTAAATTTATTTTTGCACTATTAACTTTCGACATATTTAAAATGTTAGTCTCATATCTAATTAATTTTTACGTTTTTTGTAAAATTCAGAAAAAAATTGATGAGAAAAAGAGGAATTAAAATAACGAGATAAATATGTCATATCTTAGGCGCGCGTAAAATGCTTTGTTACAGATTGTGAAATAAGAGCATCGTCGTATCTCGATATACACAAATCGTATATCATTATAAATAAAAATATACAACAAATCACGCGCGTGATAAAAATCATCACGAGCGATGCAATAATTATTTTTATTTTAAAAGAGATGCAATTATACTATTCGTCTTTCCAGAGGCTCTTGTTGCATCGCCGTTCAAGATTGTACGAATGTTACATCACGCGTTTCGCGGAGAAGCTTCACGATTTTACTCTCGTTTTGTCGAAAGCGACGAGGATAAAGCCATCCCGCGAAAATTTGCAAAGTTTGCCAGGATATTTCGCATTAGTTCCAAACTTACGAAATTAAATACTATGTCCCTAGTTTTCTCTGTCGATATTGTAACGTAAGAGAGCCCGAAATGCGGCTATCTTGCTTTTAGTGCATCGATTCATGAGTGTTTGCGTCACAGAACATATGCATTATATTGATCCTCAAATACGTAATATAGTATATATGCAACTATTCGTCCATATGTATATATAAATGTAATATTACAGCGTAAACGTAATATCATATTCTCAAAAAAATTTAAATTACTTATGTATCAATAAGAGATCACGTTTCTTACGCCGTTATGTTTATATTCTGTAAAATTCGATCTGAGCGTGACGCTCGCGAAAATTCAAGAATTTAAAGCAGTCTTCGACATATGATATAAACGTGTTTGTAAAATAGTGAAAATTGTTACGGTATAAAATTATAAATCGTATTTGCGACTTACAACGATGCAATAATAAAAATGTTGGCTCTTTTTCGTGGCAGTTATAATTTGAGCGAAAATAATGTTGTAAATCTTTCTCAGATTTTCGGTGACATTATTCATTTACCAAAAAACGGGCGCTAGATTATACGATTTGATTTTTTCGTGTCCAACTTATCTCTAAGAATCGCTCGTTTGAAACGATATTTCGCGAATATCCAAATTTTATAATTGATATATGTAGTATTTTTTCAGAATGTGTCACACTTATTTTTTCAAAGCGCGTTGCAGCGCGGAATGTTTACACAACAATATCGAACTATTTCGAAAAATCATCGACGTATACTCGATTACCATCGATATCGGAAACTTAATATAAAAATCACACACTCATCTGGAAATTTCAGCGGTTGCTTAAAATTACTCGCGAATCTTGATCCTTGGCAGCCAAATCTTGTTTCAGTACAAGGATATCTCTCTCGCTTTCCTTTCACGATTTAATTTATTATTAAATTATGATACGCAACGATATACATATATTTTAATCTTACTTCGAAGGAACGTAGTCGAATATTATAAACCTCATTTTTATTCGGATAAATTCGCGTCGCATATCAAATAATAAAGTCTCCGATGCCAAATGGCGTCAACGGGATAGAAAGGGTTTTGGTTTTATGAGAGCGAAGATGAGAGTGTCCTTGAGATATGTGCAAACGCATCCACGGGAGAGAAGAGAGAATTCTGCGCACAGTTATACCTAAAAGTAGAGCTGCAATATATCTTTCTCTTCGGCGATACCGAACGACGGTTACTCCATTATCGATAGTAACTTTCACTCCCGCCGTATCTTCGCCATTCGATGCATCCGTAATTTTCCTCCGATAAATCATGCTCGGTGTACCATTACTACCGTATTTTATTTGGTGACATTTATTCCTTTAGCTTTTAACGTTAAACACATTATTTCATTTTTAATGTATCTATAATTTTATAAATCATGTTTGCTATGTATATATGCACACATGTCTTTTCTTTTAACTTTTTAAAAATTGATTTTTATGCAACTTTATTATATTATTACCACACGCGATAGAAACAGAGAGAAAAAAAAGGGAGAAATCGATTGAAAAAAAAAAAAGTAATCGCGATATTTCTGAGACAGTCCGAGTGTAAATTAACACACATCGCTGCAAATACTAAACGTATTCAATTTCCGTCCGATTTCCGTCGTGCCGACGAGTTAATGCTCTTCGAGCCTAATCTTCGAACCCGTTGCAGATTCTACCGGAGCTGAAATTCCGCTACTCTCTTCCACGCCCAGCAGCGAGCTAGCGAGCAAGCGACTGCACCGCGCCGCCGGGAGTCGATTCAAGGTGCAGTCACCTTTCTCAGGCCGGGTGACCGTGGAATTCCACTGGGTACACTCGGGCGGAAAAATAATCTCGTTCCGTGAAGTACATCTTCGCTGTACCTTGCCCTCCTTCGTCCTTTATTCTTTCTCTCTCTTTCTCTCTTTCTATTTCTCTCTTTCCTTTTTTCGTTTTTTCGCTCTTTCTACCGTAGCCATTACGTCTCTCGGGGAACTAACTTAAACTCGGCCGCGCCCCGTGCATTTTAATGTAGCCGCGATTTATCAGGACCACGAGATTTCCGATGCGCGCCGCGCGTTGCCGCAGGAATTGCCTTGTATAATATCGAGAGTAAAAGTGACCCGAAAGTGACCCACATGGCGTGTATCAACATCATTTAATGGCGATTAAAAGACTATTCCGATGGCGTGAATTGGAGATCGACTGAAATTTGGCGTGCCTTTGCATCGGCGAGATGTTACTTTCTTCGCGTGAATTAAAACCCTGACAAGGACAAGATAGATCGATTCCGCTATAGACTATGAAATGGATGATGTTTCGAGGTTGACAAGTGCACGAAGCGTTCTCTCTTTTTTTCTCTCTTTTCCAAATAAAATCAAAATTCTAAGAAACTATAAAAATAAGGTACTATTTTTTATTCAATTTTTTATATGAAAATCACTATGCTTTGATAATAATATTAATAATAATAAAGTAAATTTCAATTTTTGGCCATGTTTCGGATATGATAAATCATCAATATGTTAATCAACCTGTGTATCCGAAAATCTGCAAGAATTCTCTAATGTCTCTATCGCGTGGATTGACATTTAGATCTCGAAAGACACCCATTCGCTAAAACGAGAGAAACTGACGATATCCGCGTTCAGAAACCTGCGCGGTTCCCTAACAACAGCATAAACCTTCTTAAGGTTAAATCCTTAACGAGTCTTACACACATCGACCAGAAAAAGAAACGGCCGATCTTACATACGGCTAATTCGCGCGCGATACCAATATTTTGATAATATCTCCATCCCACGATCTCTTCTCTCTCGGTGATCGAGGGATCGAATTGTAAGCGGGTACCCGCTTACTGATTTTCATTCTCTTTTCTTAGTAGGCAGGTACCCGGAAACTCTCGATTTAAAGTTAAGTTCATTAAAGTTACGATAGTCGAGGACGCGTGACACTAGCTCAACTATATCGTCTCTGTCATTGCCTCTGTACATTGGTGTTTTTATTTAGAAAATAATTCGACCGTTTAGAATATATATAATTTATGTATATATATACTTTTTTATTTATATATCTGTATATGTATATTTATATAGCTGCAGTTCTACGTTCTTTATAGTACGATATCTCCTCGCTTATGATACACGTTTCGTGACACGAATTCTTGTCGCGTGTTTGTCTCGAATAAAACGATCGGGCGACGAATCGATAGACCCTAACGAATCGCTGTCGGTCATCTCTTCGGCGCTGTTTAAGCAACTCGTTATGTTCTCGTTGATTCTCCGGATCTCTCGAAGAGTCTCACTCGACATAGACCGATGCGCTATTGAACTTCAATTTCGATCGAGCTCGGTGGTCTCGGCACGATCATACCATGTATATCAGCATTTTTACGCGTATAGGTATATGTGTATCACATGGAACAACAGGCTCCACATGACCGATGGCCCGTCGTTTCCGTCGGTTGGGGATCGTAGATCGACCCTGTCTTCCCACGGATTATTCATCCGCGAGGGATTTCCGTTTGGCATCACTCATCCTTGACAAGGCTGCGACAATCTTGTGGTCATCAGTGATAAGACGGAGAAAACTCCTGGCGAAAGTCATTTCCGTGTTTGTTGAATCTTCTTTTCTCTGGAGATTCATGAGACGATGATAGCCCCCAACATAACGTAGAGTATTAACTCTCGAGTGGTCGCACGGAAAGATAAATTGACTAAAGAACCGTTGAGAGCTGACGAAATACGTAATTTTTAGAATGTGATCTTGTGTCAGAAAAGAGAGCTGACTTGCTGATTGCGGCATTATCACATCGATAATCAAACGACTATATCGATGTCCTGATCAATATAGTATATCGATCAAATAGATATCCCGAATATATTTCCGATGGCGCTATCATATCGACATGACGATTATTCTCTTTCTTGATATTCTTCGTCAATGTTTCCTCGTCCATGTTTCTTCCTTTTATTTCATTGACTCTCTTTTCTTTGCGCTTCGTGACGACAAGAACTTCAGGTTGTCATCGTCACACATCTTTGAAGTATTCTTATTGCAAATTTTTCCGTACTAAGTGAAACAACGCGGAGGAGTTCACACGAACGTGCAATTATATCTTTTCTTGACTCCAGATGCGTTTTCTCATTTTCTTGATCTGCAAGGTGCCGCATCCGGTTCATCGGCGCTCGTCTACGCTCGATATGTCCCGATAACGCCCATGTCAAGGCTATCGCGCAGCTCCATCTCCAGTTGGGCCTCTCGATGCTTATCGGATCGGTGCGACGATACGGGCGGCGGCGGTGGCGGCGGCGGTGATGGACCGTTGTCCCGCTCACGATTTCTCTCGCGAGCGGACGACCTGTCTTTTTCGCGTTCCCTCGCGTGATGATGATAATGATGAGCGGCGTGTCCGTTGACCGGCAGAGTGGGATACGAGGACTGGCCACAATTTGCCTGATGCCTGGAGGGCAGCGGCGGCGGTGGCGACGACTGATGACGACCACCAGCCGGGATTCCATTCTGGAGTCCGGATTCCAAAGTTCGCATCCGATCGTCCGGTTCTCTGGCCGAGAGCTGTGGCTGCGAATGCGGCGTTCGACGCAAGGAGTGACTGGAGTAATGGGATCTCGCTCCGCTGGACGTGACCCCGTCGATCGGTGCGGAGCTCAGTGACGACGTGCCATCATCCACGACGCCCCTACCGCCTCCTCCCGTTCCGTTACCTCCTCCTTTTCCTCCTCCAGTTCCTCCGCGGTGACCGGAAGCATTGTTCGCGACGGGCAGCGTTCCCGGGCGGCGCATCTGGCGCGCCGTCTCGCCGTCGATGTAGGTAAAGCCCTCGGCGAGGGTGGTGCTGCCGTGTGGCAGAAACCAGACCCCGCCGGTCCCGGGGCTCGCCGCCCGAAGTTCTAGCTACAGCTCCGTCACCGGTATCGGTTTGATACCGGCCGTCATCTGTGCATGCGGCTGCTGTTGTTGTTGCTGCAGCTGCTGCTGAAGATGATGGTGATGATGATGCGTGGACACTGGCTGGGACTGTGGCGGTTGATGGTGATGATGATGGTGATGAGCGTGCGCTGAACGAACAATGTACTCGTCATCGGAGAAGGTCTTCTGGTATTCGTGTTCCTTCCGCGATATCGCGCGGTTCTTCCATTTGTAATCCTTAAGCGCGTCTCGTACGCGTCTGCGGCATCGGTAGTACAAAATCAGAGCGATACCGGTAAAGAGGGCCAATCCGGCGGCGCATACCGTCGCCAGCAGAGCCTGCTTGCGCGGATCCGAAAAAGCACAGCCCAGTTCGTCAGGAGTCATGCCCTTGATAGGTTTGCCCTTGGATTCGGGTGGTTCAGCGCATATCACTGCACTGGAATTCCGCGGTACGAGAACGTCGGCCAACCAGAGTTGACTGCAATCGCAGATTAACGGATTCTCGCTGAGATCCAGTCGGCGCAGTTCATTCCAGGCGACCAGCGATTCCGAGAATGTGACGAAAGCGTTGTCGCGCAGCATCAGATGCCTTAGATTCGGTAAACCAGCCAGGGAACCGTCCTCCATGGTGGCCAGCCGTTTATTACTATTCAATACGAGAGTCTCCAGATTAGCATTGTCCGAGAAGGCTCCCTTTTCAACGGTGGTTAGCAGCTTAGCACCGCACACGTCGAGCTTCTTCAGCGTTGATAGACTCTGAAAGGCGCCTGATCGCAGGATCGTAAAAAAGTTCTGACCCAGGGTGAGCTCTTCCAGGCGCAGTAACACTGCCAGCTGCTTTGTCGGTACTTCGCGCAACTTATTGGCGCTCAGTTTCAGGCTGCGAAGGGCGTTCAAGCCGCGAAACGCCCCGTCACTAATATTGTCCAACCCGGCGCCCATGATATCCAGTACCGCCAACTGCTCAAGACCCTTAAATGCATCGTCCGGCAATGAGGAAAAGGCGTTCCAGCCGATGTGAAGCTCGGCGAGGGCCTTCATCGGCGCTAAGGCTGGCGACGGTATGGTTCGCAATTGATTGTCGTCAAGATACAGCACCCGAAGAGTGCCTAATTTTTGGAATGCACCTGGCTCGACTTTCGATATGCGATTCTGACCCAGATCGAGCTCTTCGAGCTTCGACAGGTAGGCGAACAAGCCGCTATTTAGCGTTTCCAGATAGTTGTCTCGCAGATTCAACACTGTGAGAGACTTGAGGCCCTGGAACGTTTTCTCAGTCAGCGCCGAGATCTTATTGTGCTTCAAGTGGAGTTCTACCAAGTGTCGTTGAGCGTCGAAACTTCCGTTCGGTATGGTGAACAAGTGGTTACTGGAGAGATCCACGTTCTTCAAATCGCCATAGAACTGGAAGGCCGCCGCGTCCACGATCTTGATACGATTGTCCTTCAGCACTATCCGTTGAATGCTGGGATTCAGCGCGATCGGTATTACATCTAGGTTGGCGCCTACACAAGAGACAACCAGGGTATCGTCGTCGCAAGTACAGCCATTTGGACAGAAAGTCCGTGCCTCGGCAGTGCTAAGAGCGAAAAGGCCGACCAGGACGAGCAGGTGGAGAACGCCGTTGACGGTGAAGCTGCGCCGCGATGTCTGCAAATAATAAATAAAAATTCTGATTAATTCTAGTGAAAAATCTTACTTAAAACAGTACACATAATTTAAATAATTTTATTATTAAGAATAATTTTTGACGAATAGAATTTGTATCAGCTTTATGGTTACCGATCAGGTTCATTTTCGCGAACCGCTATTCGGGATGCTGAAAATGAACATATTTAATTCTACGTTTAACTGAGAACGCTATCGACAGTTGCCTCGGGAAATGGATACCATCTGATGTACACCGGCGCCCAATTTACGCCGGTTTTACGACGCGAGCGTCGTTGAATTATTTTCCGCGCGGAGTTCACCGCCGTAGCGGCAAAGAGCAGCAATGGCGCTCGTTCATTCTGTAACCCTCTCGTAACGCAAGAGAAGTTATTTCCATTTTCGTGGGCCGCGATCGCGCACGTAGGTGCGAAATTAAGCCTGCCACGCGCAGCTGAAACATCCGACGGGCTAAATTATATCCGGAAATACGAGCGCTCTCCCGCCGCGGCTGTTCCGCGGATAATAAGCTCCCGGGGCGTAAAAACTTCTATTCGAGATGGAAACGCCGAGAGCACGGTCATCCGGACGAGTCCGAGCGCGCCGCTGTGGCTAAAGTACGCCGTAAAACGTAAACGGGATGGCTGATCCCCGCAACGGGCGAAGACGCCCGATGGTTCGTACCGAGAGAGAAAGAGAGAGAGATAGAGAGAGAAAGCGGTGCTCATCGGCAGACCCGGGTAAAATTCGATATCGACCTGGACTGTCTTGACAGAGATACCACGTGAATCAGATAGTCGAGAAAACCCCGCAAGTATTTCGAATTTTGTAACATTCTCGTGGGGTATCATCTCTGATTATACATATGTTCTTTTCACGAAAATGCTCCACTGTGTGAATTAGTATAATCGATACTTGTACTATTGTAGCTTAAATGCTTTCACGTACTCCAGGTAATTACACGTATCTCAATTGTTGCACAAAACAAAGAAAGTTCTTATCGGATCGAGCGAGTTCGATCAAGATCGCTCGCGGTCTGATAGATCGCATTCAAGTTGGATTATCCGGAGACTTATCGTTTGCATGCACGATCACGGAAACATGATTTGTCGAATTGATAAGGACATTTTTCTTGCAATCGTATAATCCGGGTCAACAGAAGTCTAAAAATCCGGTGAAATCGATCGCGCGGCGTGACAGTGTCGCTAGAAAATGTCGGGAATATTAACAGCGGCTCGAAAAAAAGAGCTCGCGTGATTTACGCATATGGAAGGATTTATTTCGAAAGCTCGCCTCTCGCCTCGCCTCGCCCAGCCGAATCGGTGTCGTGCTGATGCACTCCGTATGTTCGCATTAAGCCACGTATACAGTGTTTCGATATCACCGATACATACTGTATCTCAATATGACGGATATCAAAAAGTTAATCTAAAAAATATACTAATATTTTTCATGCACTGATAATTCTCGAGCGATAAGCGATGAGGCGTTAATAAAAATTCTCGAATGTAAAAAGGGAAGGATGGGATATGCTCGTAATTAATTTTATGGAATACTTAATTTTAATACAGAGTTTATATGAAGTTTATGATACTTTATCGGCCCAGATATTTAATATTGAAAGGTAAACCAGATGCGAGGATGTGGTAGAACGAGATATTCTCGATATTCGTTTTCGAGCAACTCGCGAATCTGGAGATATGCGATCCAGATATCCGTCTCTCCGGTGTACATACAAGCGACTTTACATACGTTTCAGCGCGCTGAGTGCTAATCCGCGCGACGCAGAAGTACGGAGACGCAGCCGGATATCGCCGCTGCGTATTAAAGCTAAAAACGGTTGCGTCATTAGGAAAGGATTATGCGAGCTCCGCGAATACCGAACTTCCTCGTACCCACCATGCGCGCATGACCCCATTACTCATTTCCCATTTCAGCCGTATTACGCAGCATCCAGCTGTTATTAATGACTTTAGGATACAAATCGACTTTCTCCTCGCCCTTTCTCACTTTACATATAATTGGCTTCTTTATTGTTAATACTGTTTTAATGATATTAGCCCAAGTATATTAGAGATAATTAAATATCCTCGCTATCACTCTCGGCTTATCAATACGTTCCAAAGCATTTAATGATTTTCTATTGCAATCCCCTATTGTTTTTATTAGAGAAGTTATTTGTAAAATTTATTCTGCAGAAATTTGTGAATCCTCGAATCCAAATACTTTATCTTTCTAACTCGAAATGTATGAAAATATTTCAATTAATATATATAATATTTATTTTCGATATACATATATATTTCTTGTGTCATAATAATACACTCAAAAAATTATATATTTCTTTATTATTATTTTTAACTAATGATATTTTCATGTATTTTTTATATATATATATTCCTGTATATATTTCTATTTGCACTACAAGACTTCTCACAGAACACAATTTAAAATTCTTGTCTAGTTGCCTCCCTCTCTATTTCCTTTATTTTTCTTTGTCCGTTGTTGTAAATCGCATAATCTCCGTAATTGCTTTTTGTTATTTTTTTCACATTTTTTCTTATATTTTACTTGAATTATCTTTTATCTATGTGTGAAATATCCGAAAATTTCCAATGTTATTTCTACGTATATAGATTTTTATACCGATCATATAAAACATGAATTTATTTATTTAATTTCATACCTCTAAAATTAAATTTTTATTATTTCTAAAATTTCTCTGAAATTTGTGTTTAACCTGTTGCGTTCAACTTATTGACGGCGTGTTATCAATCAATGTATCACGTGAATCGACGAGTTCAAATTCTCAATATTATTTATATACTTCGGTGAAGCTACTGTTGGCAGCTCGAGAGCAACGCGACTCATCGGTGTGCACGAGGCGCAAATTACGTATGCGACAACGTGCGGTTGGAATCGGAATGCCGGTGTCCGATTCAGACGTCATCGTCTGCTGCGGAGACAACCGGAGAAATTAATAGAGCAACGTGTAATAACCGCTGCGAATAATAATGCCGGTCGACTTCACACGTGCGTCTCGTACCATCTCATATCTCATTCAGGATAAGAAACACAATATTTCTCTATCACAATTTTAGTATAATCTTGATATTATTAAATCTTTTAAATACAGTCCTTTGCTGGATGATTTATTCACGACAAGATTCAATGTTAAAAATTGATTACAGCAGATTTATTAGCTTTTTTTCAACATTTTTGTTAAATATAAAAAGTAATTTCAAATTAATTGTAAGATAATACATCTTTAAAATTTTTCAGTGGACCCAGGATGTTCCATTAAAGACTTTTTTAAACTGAGTTCCTTAGTAAAATTCTCCATTTTACATTTCATGAATTAAGCATTTGAATTTTCACGGGAATTCTCTTAGTCCTATGGATTAAAACAACTGTACACTCTGCAGTTAAACATCTTATCCTATTTAAATTTCTAAACTCGAGAGAATTCTGTAGAATCTATCGTTGCGCCGATAGTACAAAGATTAACCAAGAAGTGTATACTGTCGATAAAACGAATATCGCGGCATTCTCGTTTTTCCGTGAATAATTTTTTACGCTTCTCAATAAAAAAAAAAAAAAAAAAAAAAAAAAAAATATTTTCTTTTAAACACAAGATAATCCGACTAGAGAATTTTGTTAAAAATCGCCAGGTGTCCAGGTGCTTTTCGCGTTGCATCACTTTCGAGCTTTAATCAACGCGTCGCGAGGGCACGAACGAAACCGCGCTACAACATACGCGGCCATAACGCGCTTATAAACGCAGTTAATTATCATCATAGCGTAATCAGCTTGGCTCAGTGTGGCAAAACCATCAACTACCGTGCGTGCAAAACTACTCTCTACCGGCCGTTATGCCTGCTATCTTCTTCCTCCCTCTTCCCCCCCCCCCCTTTCCCTTGATTCATCCACCGAAATATCATCCGGAGATTTTGTTCGAGTGTACCATTTTCCAAAAAGCGAGATTTACATTTATTCGTCCGCTTTATACACGTAACGCTCTCGCGCGCGCCGGGCAGATTTACATTTATTTATACGAATGTTTATGGCGGTGGCATTTTTCAACCTATTTTTCGTCTCACTCCGCCGTTATTCTTTTTTTTTTATTTATTTTTTTTTCCGCGCTACTCGCCACTGCAGAAACGTGTATTATACGGGCTCTCGAACGAAACACCTGATCGATATCGTCGCGTATCACGCGATAATTTTTTTTTCTATCACAGCGAAACAACTGTTGTTGCACCGGCAAAACGTAGTCGCCAACATATTCATGCAACGTAAAATTGTTTATTTTCGAAGATACGTTCTCCCGAGTCTTTCGAGTAGAAATATTCATTCGTTGCTTATGGATCTATCCTCGCTAGTTTTGAAAATATTGTCATATACATATGCAGCTTAAAATCGCTTGGTTGCCCCTTTTTATATTTTGACACTTTACTGTGAAAATCGCGTTTATTAATAAGTTAGAAAATTCATTAAGAATATTTCAAAGCGTATATGGTCTTTGTAAATTCGATAAAATTCTCTTTTATATGTAATAAAATATTTATATATAAATTTATATATATATAGCAATGAAAAAACAAGTTTGTATATAAATTATTCAACCAAATTTATAACGCTAATTATTAGAGAAAGATTAAAGTAAATGTTAACTGTTTTCTCCGATAGCACGACTACCGTTACGTAGGACGTAAAATATGCGAATTCAATTGTATTCGCTGGGTCGAAGAGGGTTAATCGTTCCCGGATAACCGGCGCGGGAGAATACGCCAGACATCTCGACTTATCGCTCGCACTAATCATAACGCGGATGTCGCGGGCGGGACGGGGAGAAACGGCGGCGATGGAATATAACGTCACGCCCAGCCCTCGTTTCAGGGTGAATACGTCGGATTTAACTCGATGTAATTAGCGATTACAGATTACCCTTTCGTCCATTAGCATGGGCCATGATATGCACACGACGAACTCGGCCGCTGTGT